CCCATTGGTTCTGCCTCCCAGGTCCATCCCAAGTCCTGCTTGTGCTTCTAAAGCTCCCTACCCCCACCCACCCCCGCTGGAGAGAGAGCCCGAAAGGCAGGGAGAGCGTAGTTCTGAGGAACCCGAATCTTCCTCTCCAGAATCACGCGGTCCTCGCTGACGTGGCCCGAGGAGAGGAGGCAGCCCGGCCCTGTGGTCAGAGCCTATTTATACTGACGGAGCCGTGTCGCAAGCTTTTCCTGGTGGCGAGAGGGACGTCACTGGGTGCTGACCTCACCAGAAAACGCTGACGCATCTTCCCCTCACGCTTTGCTCGGATGGGCAGCCCCCTGTGCTCTGCCTGGGAGCTCCCACCTAACTCTGGGCCTATGCTTGAGAATCCCAGCAGCCTGCCACCTGGAACCACACCTTCCTCCGGCAAGTCCTCCCTTGTCTTTGGTGAGCTGGTGTCCAGGGCTGCCCACGGCACCCCAATAACCAAGTGCCCCAACCCCAAACCTCAGATCCACTACCATCGAGTTGACTCTGTGACCTGTATAGGGCTTCTAAGACTGTCAGTTGTTACAGGGAACAGCCAGCCTCCTCTTTCTCCCAAGGAGCAGCTAGAGGTTCAAACCCCTGACCCGGCAGTTAGAAGCCCAGTACCTGACCCTCCCTGCCACCAGGGCTCCGTCAGGGTGCTCAGAGCGCTCACACTAGGCAGCTGGAAGCTCTCACACCTCTGCATGGCAGGCTGGCCGTAGGCCGGCCCGGTGCACCTCTCTGGGGTGTAGGGAACTATGAAATGGAGGGGACCCCATGCCAGGTGGGCAGCAGGAGTCAGTGGGACATGGAGTGAGTGTGGAGGTGGAGCATCAGCTGCCTTGATGGGGTGAGACCCTCGGTGCCCCGCCCTTCATAAAGCAGGCTGCTTTCAGGGTCTCACCTTGGCTCAGGTGCTGTATCCGGTGGGAGAGGTGTGGGTGATGTCCTAGCCCACTCATGAGGGGCTGTGCTGACCTGAGGCCCACACCTGGCCCTGGCCTGTCCAGGCTAGATGACCTGCTTTCCTGTCCCCTCTCCCTACTGGAAAGGTCCAGACTGCTGTCAGCCCTGGTCCAGGTGGCCCACACGTCATAGCAGCCCCAGCACAATGGGATGGCCTGGCCCCATCCCCGGGCTTGGTTGTGGGGTGGTCACTTGGGGTTCAGAGGGTCTCCACTGACTGACTGCCTTTGAAAACAGTTCCCCAGGTGTTGGTGCTTGTCAGGGACTCTTCGGGAGCTGCTTGGCATCATCACAGCCACACAGAGCAGACTGACCTGGGGGTGGCCTCTGTCTCCCCCCCACCCCCCAGGCCTGTTTCTGGCTTGGCACCACCAGAGAGAGTTACACCAAGCTCAAGTCCCAGGCAGCCCCTCCAGAGAGGAGACCAGGGGTGTAAACTGGAGAAGGAGTCATCTAGGCACAAGGCCCCAGGAAAAGCCCCTGGGACGGGGTGCGATGAATGAGGAATCCAGCAAGAATAACATTCCGGAGTCCTGGAGCAGCCCATGCGGTGGCAGTGGAGCAGTGGGGACAGGCCTGGAGTGGGAACCTCATATTGGGGTCACAGGGTGGCAGGGGGAGGCAGCCTCATAGGTGTTGGGGCGCATCTACTTGGACATGACCGGGCCCTCGGCAGCTGGGCGTGGCCAGCACCTTGGGCCCAACAAGACCTTGCTGAGAGAGTTCACGGTGGCCCAGCTGATGGCCGGTGAAGCAGCAGTTTGACAGGCCAGCCCCAGTCTTTGGGGCCCCTTCCCGCTGACGTTCTGAGGTCTGAGAGAAGCCAGGGCCGCCCCATGATCGTTATCTTTCAGAGAAAGTGAAACCTGGTCCCCAACTGTCACTGCAGCGATTCAGCTTCCCTCCCGAGTTCCCCTCTGAGCTCACTGCTTCCCCATCCCCCCACTGCTGACCCTGCCCCCCTCGACAGCCGATACTTGGAATTAGACGCTCATCTTTTCCTTTCACGTCAAAGGTCTTTGCCTTTTATGTCCATGACCGGGGAGGCCCTGTGAGGTGAGGTGGGCCGGGAAATGCTTTCCCTGCCCCGTATCACAGGTGGGGCCTCAGAGGCCCAGAGAGGGCAAGTGACTTGCCCCGGGTCACACAGCATGCCAACATGGTTCCCCCTTCTCCCGGGGGGAAAGGAAGACCGTCTGGGTGGGCTATGCATTGTCGCTGAGCTGATGAGGGTGGGAGTGGGGGGTGGGGAGGGGGTCACACCACAATCTCGGGGCTGCCAGCCGGAGTCTGGCTCCGTGCCCAGAGCCTGGTGGTTTCCGCTCACAGATGTCCCAACAGCCCGGGCGGGAGGGCACCCAAGAAGGAAGATGTCTCGTCCCGCAGCAGTCTCAGACTGCACGGTGACCCCCGGAGGTGCCGGCCCCTGGGCCCCAAGGGAAGGGGGGTGGTCTGCCCGCAGCCTTGGCCCTGTCCATGGCCCGGCACCCTGGCATGTGGTATGGCACCCCATGCTCCCCACTTGCCCAGGAAGGCTGAGGCTGCGGTTTGCATCATCCCTGGGCGTGGGGCTGACCTCGAAGAACAAATTCGAAGAAAACAGGAGGAGGAGCAGGCGTGGACTGCGCCTAGCGCCCATTGGCCACCCGTGGGGACTTTGGTTTTTGGGGTCATGTTCCCAGAAGGCCTGCCCTCCCCCTCCCCACCCACCTCACGAGGTGTTGGCCAATCACCCCAGCGGGCATAAAGTGACAGCCAGCCCGTGGAGCACCCAAGCGGGAGCTGTCACCCCAAGCAGGCACGGCCGGGGCACCGGCACCCAGCATGCGGGTCTTGCTTACCCAGAGGACGCTGCCCGGTGAGTGTTTCCTTCCTCTTCACCAGCACCACTCTGTGCCCACTGGCACCGGCTGGCTGGCCGGCCGGCCGGAGCAGGCAACACCCTCTGTCCTCTGAGAGCTGGGCTGAGCGGGGCGGCCAGACCCAAGGATGCTGAGAAGGGCGAAAGCCCGGTCAGGCCAAGAGTGGGACCCTGAGACCCTAGTCCCCACAGGGCTGAGCACCCTGGGGGCTTCCAGGGGGCAGGGCTGCAAAGGACAACTGGGAGCAGGGGGGCTGGGGAGCTATGTGGCGGAGGGGCTGCAGCAGGGTGGGGGCAGGAGGTGAGCGGCCGAGGAGGAAGCTAGGGCAGTCAGGAAGGAACATGGTGCAAGCCTGCCTGGAGGGGCTCCAGGGCTTCCTGCGAGCAGGTGCAGGGCATCTTCTCCCCAGGGAGTCTGGGTGACTTGGTAGTCTGACCCCCCACTCCCACCAGCCGCACAGTCCTTGTAGCCCCGCCCACCAGGTGGCATGCACACTGGAGCCATATGATGTCACCGAGAGCCCCAAGCTCACCAACCAGGGACCCTGCCAGGTGGCCTGTCCATAGCCTCCCACCGCCGTGTGTGAAGACGCCCCATGTGCACGGTGCACAGTGGGCTCACACGGACCCTACAGCCGAGCTGGCAGCAGGCAGTCAGGGGTCCCTGTCATGACCAAGCCGGGGAGCCCAGCCAGGGGAATGGATCAGTTCTCAGGAAGGGACAGTGGTGTCACTACCTTCTGGGGCCCTTGTGCCCCAGGGCCCTTCAGACCACGTGGTTGCCGGTGCCTGTTTGGGGGCGGGGCTCCCACGGAGCCGTAACTGCCTCTCCTTAGGGGTGTTCTGAGCGTTTCCCAGCATTGCTGATGGGTCTGACAGAGGAAAGAGAGGTGGGAGGGTGGGGAAGCAGCAGGGCAGCCCCTGGATGGCCTCGAACATGGTCCAGGTGACCCACAGCCTCGGGTTAGGGGCCCACCTGTTCCCAGGGGGCTGCTTGCTTGAAGCTTCCCCCTGCCCTGTTCCTGGGGACCACTTGGCAAGTCACAGCCACCATCCTGGTGTCCTTGGTGGCAGTCCCCAAAGGTGCTCATGTGCACACCTGCACACCGTTCCCCGCAGTGTGTGTGTGTGTGTGGGGGGGGGAGGTGTCCTCGGAAAGCTGTGGCTTTCTTGCCACGACATGTGACGCTCCCCTCCCTGGCCCAGGTCTTGTCCTCGGGCTCCTGCTACTGGGCACCACGGCCATGGGCGGCTGCTCCAGAGACTACCAGCTTCTCCTCGGCCAGCTGCAGCACCAGGCGAACATCATGCAGAGCACAGGCATGCTTCTGGACCCCTATGTAAGCACCTGACCCGGGTGGCATCGGGCATTGGGGGGCGTGGCCTGGGCGGGGCCAGGGTTAGGGGCGGGCCGGAGTGAGCTCCCAGGGGCAGGCTCATCCTTCACTGGTCCAGCACAGTCCGTCTGGGGCCAGGGAGGAAATGGAGCCCCGTGGTTTTCCCAGGCCATCTTGGCTCACCACAGTGTGACTCCCCAGCCCACATCTGGGCGGCTTGGTGCTCCCCACGAGAGCGGGGAGGGGGTGCGGAGTGGAGAGTGAACCAGAGGGGCCTGCCCTGCAAGCTTGCAGTCGCTGCCCTACACACCCTCCCGCAAGGTGCCTGCCTCCCTCTGACCTGTCTGAGTGACTATGGGGTTCTGGAGCGAGGTCTAGAACATGGGTGTGTGGAGTGGGGGGGCCTCAGCCCTCACTGCCTGGTTCTCACCCCAACCTACCCCTCCCTTCCCCCAGCTCCACATCCAAGGTTGGTACGACTCAAAACTGAAAAAGGAATGTAAGGAGCAACCCAAAGACTTCCTCAGCGAGCGCTCCCTGATGGGGCTCAGCAGACAGGCCTTCCTGCAGACCCTCAATGCCTCCCTGGGCCTCATCCTGGACAAACTGGCTGCCTACCTGCAGACGTACCATGTCAACATGGATAGGACCTGGACGCAGCCGAAAGTGGAGCAGGCCTGGAAGAACCTGGCCCAAGCCGAGAGATTTCTCCGAGGGTTCCGGAACAACATCTTCTGCCTGGCTCAGCTCCTCCGTGATTCCGCAGAGACGGCCATGCCCACGCAGGCCAGCGAGAGGCGCTCCACGCCCCCCTTAGACCACTTCGAGCTCAGGTTGAAGGACTGCCAGCTCCTGCAAGGTTACCATCACTTCATGCACTCGGTGGGGCAGGTCTTGGACAGGTGGAAGGAGGGCCGGGGCCGGAGACGCAGACACAGCCCCCGCCTCCGCCGGGCCCTTCGGGCACAGGCCTACAGGGCGAGACCCTCCTGGAGGACCAGGAGGCCTCTCCTCAGGAGGCTGTTTCCCCAGTAGCCCTTGCAGTGTCCCTGGAAGGTGGAGGATGTTCTGTGGAGAAGAGGAGCCCATATAGGGAAGGTTGCCACTAGGGTCTCCAAACCAGCACCCATTGACTACCTGCCCCTCACAAGTGCACTTTAAGGGGCGGCCGCTGAGAAGGCCTGTGCCTCGGCTTCGTCAGGATGGGGGGCAGGACGGCCAGGCCATGAGGCCCTCCCCTCCCCCCGGCCCTGAGCTCCCAGTGGGTGGGGTGGCTGGGTCAGGCCACTTGGGGAAGACTTTCCATCGATTCAGGTGTCTGATGACACAGGCTGACTCATGGCTGAGCTGACTGCCCCCCTGCCCAATCGCTGGAGGCCTGTGGCCCTTCCCTCCATGACTGGCAGGGCTGTGGCTCCCAGACTTCCTCCTTTCCCTGGTGTGTCTTGGCTCCAAGGAGGGGGCAGGGTGTGGGTTGGGGAGCTGTCAGGGCCTGAACTGGCCTTCTATGCCTCAATGCCAGGCTGAGGCTGGACACCTGGACAACTGGGGGACCCCACTTTGGCAAGCTGTAGCAGGTGGGGTATCTTAGAAGCGGCTCTACTCTAGGGGTCCAAAGCTCAGCCCCTAACTAACTCCCTGGGCCACTTCAGGAAGCCACTTTACCTCTCAGGACCTCAGTTTTCTTTTCGTGAATGCAGGGGCTCAAGGCGCTGGGTCTCTGTGACAGACCGGGGTGACTATCTCAGTAAATCAGCAGACAGGTGCCCATGGCAGTCTGAGCCCTCAGTAGGAGACCTCTCAGCACCCTTAAGGTCTTGGGTCCTGTCTGCCAGCAGCTCCCCCTGGTGGCGAGTTCTGGAAGTTCCTCATTCAGAAACCAAGGCCCTTCTGGAGCACCCCCCCCACCCCAGCTCCTGGGGCAATTCCCGGGAGGGCATGGCTAATTTATTGATTTCTACCAGTTTAAAAATCAGTTTATATTTATAAAGCTTATTTATGATGTGTATTTAATGCTAATATTGTGCCAACAGGTATTTAAAAGTTTATATATTTTAAAATAATGCTTCTGTGTATCTGTTGCCAGGTGGGAGGGGACTTGGGGGGTGGGGTCCCTGGGTGACAAGGTTGCAGGTGTCCCCCAGTCATTGCAGGCTCTGTCTGCAGACGCATTTTAAGTACAACGAGGGCTCTTAGGGCTCCCCACATCTTTGGAGTTTGTGTGTGTGTATGTGTGTGCGTGTGCAGAGCTCTCCTGCAGCCTGGGTATGGGTGTCTGTGAGAACATGTGAGCTGGTGTGTGTGTGCACGTTTCTATAGGCATGCATACTTGTGTGTGCAAATGTAGCCGTGTGCTTGTGTGCTGTAGTGTACTCACAGCCATTTACGCTCATGCGTTACTCTGAAGGAGAATGGGTACATTTGTGGAATGATCCGATGTTGTGCACTCAGAGTCACACCCTGGCCACCAGCTGCTTGCAAATGTCCCTGGGACATTGGGATACAAAGCTTGCTGTGTGCACAAGCAGGTAGGGGCACCGGGAGGAGGAAACTCAGCATTCCGACTCAGACACAACAGGCTGTATTCAAATCGACAGCTTAGCCCCATCCCATCTGTCTGTCTACACTGGGAACATGAGCCTCAGCTTCCTAATCTGTGAAATGGGCAAGATCAGAGCAGAGCACACCTCAGACAGGCTTATGACAGTGCCTGGCACTTAGTATGTGCTCAGAACTGCTTCCTGAGGGGGCTGAGGGGAGAAGGCACCTACGTGGTCCATGGAAGGAGCGTGGACGGGCTTGGCTGCGTCTTGGGGGCCCAGAGCCCCTGTCCAGGTCTAGCCCTGAGTGCCTGTAGGCAGCACTTTGCTCTCTCTGCTGGTCCCCATCTCTGTCTCTTGGAGGGTGGTGAGGTTCCCTGCCCCTCCGTGGCCCCTCCCAGTTCTTCCCTGGAATGCAGTTGTGTGTGTGTGTGTGTGTGTGTGTGTGTGTGTGTGTGTGTGTCTGACCTGGGGCCAGGGCATGGGGTGAGAGGGTATACAGAGACAGGTGAAGTCAGAGCTGCCCTAGGGCTGAGAGGCCCCAGTGACCCCAATCTCTCCCAAAGGGGTAAACATTGCCCCCTTCAGGTGTCTCCTATGAGGTGCAAATGTACAAACAAACAAACAAAAGCCCCAAACTAAACTCACAGTCATCAAGTGGATGCCAACTCACAGCAACCCTATAGGACGGGGCAGAACTGCCCCTGTGGAGTCCAGAGACGTACTCTTTATGGGAATAGAAAGCCTCTTCTCTCTTCCATGAAGCAGAGAGTAGTTTCGAACTGCCAGCCTTGTAGTTAGCAGCCTGGTGTGTATGCCACCAGGGCCCTCTAATTCCCTATAAATGAGGATTTGGTGGGAATGCATTTACCAGGTGTGTGTTTTTAACCCCTCTTCCCGCCACGGAGGGAAGCCACCATGAAACGGGAAGTGGCAGGGAGAAGACACAGGTGGGGAAAGACCGTGCAGTGACTGTGCAGAGAGGGCTGGGCGGAGGCACCCACCAAGCCTGCTGGGTGCCTGCCAGGTAGCCCACCAGGATAGATAGGATCCAGGTGAGAAGACTGAGGCTTGACGTATTTGAATGACTAGTCCACTTGCGGGGCAAGGTGGACCGTGGGAGTTGGGATTCCTTGGACTTCAGGGCTCCAGGATGGGAGTCTGTGTACTCACCTCAAAGCCCCTGGGACTTGCCAGCCACCTTGCTGAGTTCCTGCAGGCACAGAACTCCTGGCCGAGGACCAGCTGTGATGGTTAGAGTTTCTGTCCATTAGACAGAGCTGGGTGAAGGTGGTTGGTGGAGCCCAACCTTTCAAACAGGTCACAGCCTGGTGACACCTCCTTGGGGGTGTGGCCTTGTATATAAGAGAGACTGAGCAGAGGCCAGCTCTCTCTGGCCTCTTTGTCTTCTGCTGGATCTGGTTCATCGAGCTCTTGCGGTGTCACCTGCTGATCTCAGGAGCCGCGGGTGGACCACCGACCTTGGGTTCATTTGGCTGAGCTTGGATTCATTCAGCTCTGCATCCACCAGCCTGTGGGCCTCCCGCTTCATCTTCCAGCTTCCTGTTTGCCAGCTTCCACAGCTACCTGAGTCAGGAGAAGCCTCCAGCTTAGATCTGACCTACGGACTTGAACCAGAGTAGACCGAGCCATTTCTTGATAAAATCTCTTTTTTTGTCTACATGTACGTAAAAGCACCATTACTTCTGCTTCTCTCATACATTTGCACTGGTAGCGGTGCTAGGGAAGCAAAATGGCAAAGATGAGCTTCCTAAATTGGTTCTCAAGTCTGATTATGTCCAACAGCACTGAGCACTCCACCAGTCTCTGGAAGTCTGGCTAAAGCTGTTATTGCATCTGGCCCTTCTCACAACTCCAAAGGAGAAGCAATGGCTGGTGGGCGTTTTTTTGGATTTGGGCAGGGGGGTGCACAACAGATCCCTCATTTAGGTGTGCTACTCTGGCCTTTATTTCAGTGACTCAAAAAGTTGCCAGCCTCAGTGGGGCCTAGAACACGAGAAGGCTCTTCAACAGGCTCAGGCTGCCATGCAAGTTGCCCTGCCACTTAGTCCATAGGAAGATGATCCAATGGTGCTTGAGGCAGCAGTGGCAGAGAGGGAGGCCGTTTGGAGTCTTTGGCAGGCCCCTATTGGCAAACCACAGTGCAGACTCTTAGAATTTGGGAGCGTGGCTCTTCCATCCTCTGCAGACAACTACTCTTTGGAAAAACAGTTTGGGGCCTGTTACTGGGCCTTAGTGGAGACTGAATGCCTCCCCATGGGCTGGCACCAAGTCATCATGTGGCCTGAGCTTCCCATCATGAGCAGAGTGTTGTCTGACCCTCAGAGTCATAAAGTCAGAAGTGCACATCAGCACTGCAGCACTGCATGTGTTAGTCCGGGTAGACTAGAGACACAAAATCGTAGACTCTCATATGTGTATAAGAAAGAGCTTTATATAACAGAGTAATTGTATATTAAGAAAACACCCCAGCCCAGTCCAGATCAAATCCATAAGTCCGATATTAGCCCGTATGTCTGATACCAGTTTATAAATTCCTCTTCTGATTCATGCAACACATGCAATGACGCCGAGTGCAGGAAGATCACAGGCCAGTGGGTGGCAAGTCTTGTGGGTACAGTGGCAGTGGAAGCATCTCAGCGCTGGCATGGGTTTCCACATGGTCCCTCCTTGTCAACATTAATGTCAAGCAGAGAGTCTGTGTTTATCTGGCCTCCAGTGAGCTATTTATCTCCATCGCGCCTCCAGATGAGGTCATCAAGCTGCGACCTGACTGGCAGGCTAGACTCCACCCCTTTGCAAGTTGACACCAGGTTATGTAACTACCACACTGCATCATTAATGGAAGTGTTGTATGTAAGACCAGGCTAGAACAGGACCTGAAGTGAGGCTCTGGGTGCTGCAGTGTTTGATATCTTTCTACAATTCTGTCTACTTACTATTAAGCAAGCTGCTTATGGTCCCCACTTTTACCACAGTGCCTTCTTTCTCCCGGTGTGCACTTAGGGCCTCATGGGGAGTTTCTCATGATCAACTGAGTGGAGAAGTGAAAACACGTGCTTGACTTACTGGTAGTTTGGCATGGTATGCAGGTGCCACTTGCAAGTGCAAAGGAGCAGTAATATAGCTCCTTTCTGGGACCGCTCTGAAGGACAGCGGTCAAGGGAAATCCTCCCAGTGGGCAGAACTTTGAGTGCTTCCGTTTGCTTAGAAGTAGAAATGGCCAAATGTGCGACTGTACACTGATTCATGGGCTGTGGCCAATGGCGTGGCTGGAGGGTCAAGGACTTGGAAGAAGAATGATTGGAAAATGAGTGACAAAGAAGTGTAGAGAAGAGGTATCGAATAGACTTTTCGGAATGGGCCTAAAACGTGAAGCTACTTGTGTCTCATACACTTGCTTACTGAAGGGTTGTATCTGCAGAGGAGGATTTCAACAATCCAAGGGAACACAATGACACATTCTGTGGGAGC